CTAAATTCCATGGAGCAGTTTGTTTAGTATTTGGATGTAATTATAATGTTATCTACGACCTCCTCCTTTCCCTTCAATCAAAACAGCATACAAATTAGGTCTGTTCAGCGTCATCGACGAAAGCAACCATATAAACATTGGTCAATCCAAGTAAGTAATGCCACGCTCGCAAATGAGAACAATGCATACCTGTGATGTCGAGTGAGTCCAAAGAAATACAAACTAAACGCCTTTAATGAGTTCCTTTATTACATATACAAAGTTCCCAGTTCCTATAGCCATAGTTCACAATCATCACAAACACAGTGTAGGGGTTCTTGGTTGCACCTAGCTTGCGCCCCAACCTGCGGTAAAAAACTGAAAAATACAGAAATTAACCTGTCCTTAGCACATATTTTGCCTTTAGAGCCACAAAACAAACATATTTCAACAAAATTAATCAAATTTCAAACGTTTAAACCGTATTAAAGTTACCTCATGGGTCACCTAAGCCTTGCTAAATCCGTAAGTCTGTTTCCTTTGGACTTTCACGTAAACATATCCCATGATGCATTTTTCCACGATGTACAAAGAATGAACTCTGAACCCTGACCTGACTACCAGAGCAGACGGACAATATAAAACTAGCGTTTCACTACATTCCTCGCCTGATTGCTAAATCACTACTACATTTAAACCCTGTAAACATTCATATTATTTATAACCCGATGAAAATATATAATATCAAAACTTATCTGAATAACAATAAACTAAAGTTTCTAAGCAATAAAATTCACTTGTCGCTGTCAATGTTCAACACAATAATTCACTCTGCCATCAATAGTACTAACTGAGTAATAGGACGGATATACGAAACCGATCGTCCATTACGAATTGTCTTAACTCTGACTTTACGAACAAGACCATCGTGACTAGGAAAAACACATTCAACAATTCCCATTGGCCAGTCATTACGATGAGAGTCATGATCCTTCAGCAAAACAATGTCACCTTGTTTCAAGTTTGAACGTTCGTGATTCCACTTTTGTCGCGTTTGTAGCGATTGTAGATAGTCTCTTCTCCACGCGTTCCAAAATTTCTGGGCCAATACCTGAACACATCGCCATTGGGATCGAAACATGTCTTTCACTGAGAAGTCTACCAAGGTTAGATCTACATTTGGAACGTCAGTCTTTTGCGTAATGAGAGTACTTGGCGACAATACCACTGGGTTTTCAGGGTCGTCAGATACGGGTACCAGTGGTCGCTGGTTCACTATAGCACACGCTTCGGCTAGAAAAGTCGTAAGCACTTCATGCGTGAGGTGTTTAGTGTCAGTATTACGCAACATGTTGTCCAGAATCCTTCTAACGGTACCAATAAGCCGTTCCCAAGATCCGCCCATATGGGAGGCATATGGAGGATTAAAAGTCCATGTGATGCTTTCCTCTGAAAGAAAGTCTTTTACGGCTTTGTCCTCGACGTCAATAACATTCAAGTTAAGTTCCTTAACGGCTCCTACGAAGTTAGATCCTTTGTCCGACCTAATGTGCTTTACCGGTCCTCTGAGCGCGATGAATCTCCGCAGTGCGTTAATGAAGGAAGATGTGCTCATCTCCTCTACGACCTCAATATGTATCCCTCTCGATACCATGCAACAGAATATTATAGCCCAACGTTTTGCGTTAGCTTGTCCTCCCCTAGTTTTTCTCGCGCGCACATTCCATGGTCCAAACGCATCCAATCCAATGTAAGTGAAAGGCGGACATGGTGTCAAACGATCCTGCGGTAAAGTACACATTTTTTGTTCCACAAACTTTCCTCGGAGTTTCCTGCACACGACACAGTGATGTAAAATAGAGGAAATTAATCGCTTTCCTCCCACTAGCCAATAACCAGAAGAACGTATTTTACCCTCCGTAATATGTCGGCCTTGGTGTTCCGATTTCTCGTGATAATGTCTCACGATTAGAGTAGCCACGTGATGTTTTGCTGGGACAATGATCGGATCCTTTCCAGGTAAGTCAATGTCACTATTCTGAATCCTACCACCAATCCTCAGGAGCCCCTCGTCGTCTAGAAACGGCGACAATTTCAACAAAGAATTGTTCCTGTTTAACGGCAGTCCTTTCTGCAAACAGTCGATTTCCATCGAATAAAACTCTTGTTGAACAACCTTCAGTATGAGGTTCTTTGAATCGTTAGCAAAACGCAACACGTCTGGATTGTCTGTTCCGTTGTGATGACGATGCGCGACTTGTTTCAGTAAGGTTATTGCACTAACCAACCTAGTCCATGACGAAAATCTCGCGAAACGGTCAGGATCGAGAGCGAAGTCCTTCCGAACGTGAGTTTTCATGACATTTGTTTCGTTGACGAACGTTATTTCACCGTCGTCGTTACCGATCAACGGAAATACTTGGTCTCTATACGAACTTTGCAAATCACTCATGACGTCAACGGGTCCGTTCAACCACACTGACTTTCCAACGTCTTTCGCACGCATTGGCCTAGTCGCACTATCGGCAGGGTTACATTCACTAGAAACGAAACTCCACTGCTGTTTGGAAGATAACTTCAGAATCTTGTCAATCCGATTAGCAACATAAACGAAGAAACGGCGCGTGTCGTTAAATATATACCCTAGTACTACCTGACTGTCGGTATAGTAGTAGGTGGCGTCAAACACAACATCGACGTGTTCGGATATAAATAAACCGAGTTCAGTAGCAAGAACAGCCGCGCATAGTTCTAGTCTTGGAATGGTATGTCCGTGGGAAGGCGCTACTTTCGATTTGCCAAGAACGTATCCAACAGAAGCATTTTCCTGTACGTCATAAATTTTCATGTATGCTACTGCGCCTATGGCATCCTTTGACGCGTCTGAGAATACGTGTAGTTCACGACGAATTGCCTTTTCCAATGACGAATTGGAGTAACATCTCGAAATTTCTAACTGTTCCAGATCTTTAAGCGAAGACCTCCATTTTTTCCAATCAGAGTTCAAGTCCGGAGGTAAAGGGTCATCCCAGTCAAGATCCTTTGACGATAACACATTTCGCATTAATAGTCTGCCTCCGAGAATAACTGGTGCCACAAAGCCGAGGGGGTCGAATACACTATGTATTGTAGAAAGTACGCCTCGTTTGGTGAACGGTTTCACCTCATCAGAAACACTAAACGTGAACGTATCACAACCGACTTTCCAACGTAGTCCGAGACTCCTATGAACGATATCATCGAAGTCCATATCGCAAATTTCGCTGGTATCCTCTTTTGGAAACTGCTTTAAAACATCAACACTGTTCGACGAGAACTTGTGCAAGTGAATGTTTCCGTTTTGCCGTAATCGAGCTTGAGTGTCTCTCAACAACTGCACTGCGTGACCTTCGTCAGATACAGAGGTCAACCCATCGTCAACGTAGAAGCTCTCTTTGACGAAACAACACACCTCGTCGCACGCGGAAGAATCGATATGGTCGCAAGCAGATTTCCTTAATCCAAGTGTGGCAATACACGGAGAAGACGAGTTGCCAAACACATGCACGCACATACGAAATTCCCTTAGCGGTTGTGTGGGATCATTATCTTGAAACCATAAGAAACGTAGAAAGTTTCTGTCACGCTTGTGCACATAGAAGTTGAAGAACATCTGTTCAACATCGGCCATAATCGCAATTCGTTCCTTCCTGAATTTCATTAACACACCAACCAAATTGTTTATGAGATCCGGACCTGTCATGAGAATGTCGTTAAGCGAATGTCCATTAAACTTTGCCGCCGAATCGAACACGACTCGGATTTTGTTGGGTTTTTGGGGATGATAAACCCCGAATATCGGTAGATACCATGCTTCCTCGCCGTCTTGTAACTCGGGAGCTACCTCTGCATGCTCCTTGTCAAAAATGTTTTGCATAAACGCACAAAACTGTTCGCGCTTAGTAGGATTTTTCAGTAACGACTTTCGTAGATTTTCTGCGCGATGCCTTGCCTGATCCATATTGTTTGACAAAGTAGGTCGTTCCTTTTTTAGCGGTAACGGTGCACTCCAATTACCGTACTCGTCCTTAATAAACTCCCCTTCCATGACACGCATGAATTCCTTATCCTGTTGCGAGTAACCAGGAATATCATCGAATTTTGTTCTTTGAAATATGTCCATTCCAATTGGCAACTTATCGGATTTTTCAAACTGAGCCTTGAAGTAATTCGGACACGGATCCATGAGAGTAGGTCTGCCATCCGGTAAAACGACCGTTTTGCTCACAGTTATGACCGTAGGTTTGTGAACGAGACCTAGGCACGATTCTCCTACAACTACCCAACCGAATTTTAATTTCTGTGCATATGGTTCACGTTCATGTCCAGTTCGCTGTTCCAACACATGATGCGCCGAAATGAGATCTCTGCCAACGAGAAGCAATATGGGCGTATCGTTTTCATACTCTGGGATAAGATGAGCAATGTCCTGCATGTGACTATAGTGTCGTGCAACTTCCGGTGTAGGTATTTCCTGTTTCACATTCGGAATATGATTGCATTCTGTAATCAACGGTAATTTTAATGAGTATTCCTTGTCCAATGATTCCATTACGTATCCGCTGCCTTGCCTCCCGGTTACCTGAATTTCACCGGCACATGATGAAAGTACGTATCCGGTTTCCGTAGAATGATCTCCAAAATAATCGAAGAACTCACTTTTGGCCAATGTCCGATTGCTCTGCTCATCTATAATGGCATAAGCACGCAACACATTATTAAGTTGTCCGTCCTTGTAGATATTTACTAACACCGTTTTTGCACACGATTTCCCCACGAAGGGACCGGTTTCACCGCACAACTGTGTACACTTGGAATTTATCTTACGATTGTCTCCCCTGATACTTGTCCTTTCCTCGCCGTGAGACTGACGGGGCTGATATTTGTCATCATGAAACATAGTGCAATGCGATGAACCTTTACACACAGTACAGATTACTTTTTCTGTACAGTCCTTGGCCAAATGTTTGTCCTTACAACACTTAAAGCACACGCCGTGTTTTAAGAATTTCCCTCTTTTCGTCCTTGGATTTCGATAGAAACAGGTGGCAATCTGATAACAAATGCTTCACTTCTCTCGCACTGTCATGAAGTGGGCACAAAAATGCTGTAGGCACATTATTAACTTCCGTTTTCTTTGAAAAGACGTATGCATTCCTACTTCCGGTAGACGCAGTACGACGTTGTTCTTTGCTGACGCTAGGTACCGCAGTACCATCGGTGTAATTGAAACTCGGGTTGTTCATTCGCGAGCTCATTTCCTGTATGAACCTCTCGAAAACACTGAATTTCGGATATGTAACATTGTGCTCGGTTTGATATCTGCACGCATAGTCAGTCCATTTGTTTTGTATGAACACGGGTAACTTGCAAACAATTGGGTTTATACCGCTGGACGAATCGTAGTACGCCATTATCGAGCTGAACGCCGTGTTTTCCTTTACTGCCTGAATTTCCGCCAATATGTTCGAAAGATCAAACAATTTCTGACCATCTCGGTTCGTTAATTTCGGGAATTTGTTTAGCCTTTCCCTCAAAGATAACTCAATTTGCTCGGGCGCGCCGTACTTCTCACTGAGCCTAGTCCAGATTTTACACAAGGCTTGGGGTGGGTCGTGTATGTTTGCAGCACGTAGACTTACAGCCTGTTTTCGAGATTCTGGCCCCAACCATTTCGATAATAAGTCTAATTGTTCTTGAGGGCTTACATCAAGTTCCTTTACAACATTTAGGAATGACATTTTCCAGACACGATACTCCTCGGGTTTATCAGTAAACTGAGTGAGTCTACCCATAAGCAAGTCTTTCTTTAGCATAAATTTGGTCAAATCATTCAGTCCAGTTACACACTGACCTGGGGTGAATTCTCGAGCCTCAACGTTTAACGGTACTTTATGTGAATAGGGGTCGAATGTTTCATAACCGGTGTTCAAATTTTCGGCTTGACTTTGCACAAATTCAACTGTCCTAGACTTCCTGTGTAACTCCTCATCATCCGACGGTGCTTGTGAACAATGTCTGATAGGGCTACCAGTGTCAATAACGTCATCCATAGCCTTAAGCTCGGCTGCTGCCTCGTCCAGTTCTCTTTGTGATTTTAACAGCTGAAGGGATTTTTGCAATTCGGCCTCTTTCTCAACAAATTTTAGCCTCACTTTGGCCGCTTCCAATTTCGCTCGTTGTTTCATATATACTGAACTGACCCTGGAGATGTTAGTTATGCTAGAACGCACTGAGGTTTTACTTGTTTTCGACTTTATTGACATAATATCCGAAACGCCGTTTTTATATTCACTTACACTATGCCGAGGATTTTCCTCGACTACAAACCCCTGTGAAATGTTATCGACCACAGATACAGTTTGAACTGGTTTTATTTTGTCAATAAATGATTGAATTTGGTCCAAAACCGTGTCACACTGGGATTTTAATGTTTCCACAGCTGTCATATGAGATAATAATTCTTCCTGGCCTTGTTCCGTTCTACTTTCTTCCAAATATTTACTGAATTTGGTTGAAACTTGTTCATAGGATTCATATGATTGGGTAATGTCTGATGCCAAGGATTTTAATTCATCCAAGTTCATATTTTCATACTCAATATCAGTTATGAGACAATCTAAATTTCTGTATAAATTTAACAGTCTATGTTTATACTTGCCGACTGTGTCCTCAAATGCCTGATGTGCCTTTTCCGTCATTTTGATGGTTCTTTTTCCCGGGTTTTCAGCCATGAGTTTTTTACTGTGATGTCGAGTGAGTCCAAAGAAATACAAACTAAACGCCTTTAATGAGTTCCTTTATTACATATACAAAGTTCCCAGTTCCTATAGCCATAGTTCACAATCATCACAAACACAGTGTAGGGGTTCTTGGTTGCACCTAGCTTGCGCCCCAACCTGCGGTAAAAAACTGAAAAATACAGAAATTAACCTGTCCTTAGCACATATTTTGTCTTTAGAGCCACAAAACAAACATATTTCAACAAAATTAATCAAATTTCAAACGTTTAAACCGTATTAAAGTTACCTCATTGGTCACCTAAGCCTTGCTAAATCCGTAAGTCTGTTTCTTTTGGACTTTCACGTAAACATATCCCATGATGCATTTTTCCACGATGTACAAAGAATGAACTCTGAACCCTGACCTGACTACCAGAGCAGACGGACAATATAAAACTAGCGTTTCACTACAATACCACAACGGCACCAACAGGCAAACTAACGAACATCTAACACGTTCAGCTTTATGTCGCATAAAGAAGTAGGATATTTCTCAGTGCGATCACTATGGCGACCATAAAACTTCCCAATAATTATCATCAATCTGCATTTTTGGAATCCTTGTGTTACTGTATACTTTTACGGGAAGGAACTATAACAAAAATTAAAAATCATCCTCAGGTAATTTTATCTCAATTAAACACAGCTGACGATTTTTGCATGTCGCTAAGTTACAATTTTACAAGTTAATACAAGCAACACAGAATACAGAGACCCATATGTTATTATGGTGTACTTAAAACTTAAAACCGTCGGTCGAAAATTTCAACTCGGTTTAAATTATGACTTTTTTAACACGAGTAACATACAACCACGTGTGCATGAGACCGCCATTTCGGAAAGGTATTGCGTTTGAAAAAAAAATCTTTACAAAAAGAGGACAGAACATGTCTGATATTATGAAATGTTACCATTCACAAGAGCATGTATTAAAAATAACCCTCATAAAACACATCATACTGTAGTTGTCGCACGTGAAGAAATGGATGTTGCTAGTTCGTCCCAAAACACAACATTACCATGCAAGTCACCACGGGGATACTCGATATAGGTTTTGCTCTCAATAATATCCAGTAACGACAGTGGTAAATCTCGAGGCGGAATATCCTCATAGAACACCAATAAAAGGACAGAGTCGCCTCCCCTAGAATATATACTCTCCATTCGAGCCATGTTAAATTCGAACATACACCAGTACGAATTAAGATAGTTCCGGGAGAGTATGATAACAGTTTTCCTGCTTTGGTGGATAGCGTTGGTGATGTTCTGGGCTATGTCTTCCCCTGGTATGAAGTCTCTTTGGTGCAGACAAAGTCGCAGCCCGTGATTGTCTTCCAAATGGATCAGCATCTCCTTTACCACGAACATGTAATCATCTGAACAATATGATATAAATGCATCATACAGGTAGTCATCATCGTCTTCCGCATTAACAACGGGTCTATAACCGCGATACTGGGTCTTGGCCATGTAAAACAGATAACGCAGTTTCCACCTGTAGCGGTAGATCATACCAGAAATCACAAAGGTTACCGACAACAGAATCACTGAAGCACACACTGCTATGATACCTATATAACTATCACACGACTTACTTATTTCCAACAAGGTTGTATCAAAATTGGAAAACGTTATTTCTGTTCCGTTGGAGAAAGCACATTTGTATGTTAGAAAATGTTCAAACAAATCTTTTTTTCGACCTAACCATTTAAGGAAATCGAGTTCCTCACACGAGCAGTCCATACGATTCCCTTGCAAATTAATGGTTAAATTGTTGTCCTTTAAACTATCTATCTGGTCTCGTTGGTCCTGTTTGATTCCTCTAAGTTGATTATGGGTAATATCGAGATATTGAAGATGTTTCATATGTGATATATCGAGACTTAACTCATTCAATGCGTTGTTACTCAAATTCAGTATCTGAAGTTCATGTTGGTTTTTGAGAAGTAAGGCTGGTAAGGTGTATATGTGATTTCTAGATAGGTCCAAAGTTTTTAAACTCATAAGGTGCCTGAATATTTTACCATTAACATCTTTATATAGCACCAATCCTAATAAATTGTTCTGAACTAGCAGTGTTTCTAATCTATTTTTATCCATTAAGAAGTTATCAGAAATATAGGAACAATAATTATTGGATAAATCAGCATGTTTAAGGTGTTTAAGATTAAGTAGAGGTCCTTTCCATGAATGAAATAAATTATTACTGAAATCCATTATTGTGACGTTATTGTCGCGGAAATGAACCCGACCGATTTCAAAATTCATTGCATTATTACTGTAGTACAATTCTCTAAGTGATTGTGGAACCCTAATTTGTGTGATTGTATCTTTGTTTTTAGAGCTCTTTATATGTAATAATGGATTTCTATTACAACTGAGCAATTCAGTAGTTTGTCCGAAGGTCACCAAGTCACGTGACGGTGGGGCACGCCAATCATGACAATCACTACTTCCAACTTCCAAATTATGAGGATTTCCCTGATGTTCTGCGTGTATTATTTCAATATTCGGTAACGAGGACACGAACTCGATATAATATAGCCCATATGATAGATCATTGTCTTTAACTGATAAGAAAGTCAATGACTCAGGAAGTTTTCCTATCGCGCCTATATCAAACATAGATAACCGATTGCTCTCTAGGTATAAATCCGTTAAGCTGGTATTTTTCAAATGAATAATATCGTTCCTGTATATAACTGTACTAGGTCCAAACGTACAATGTAAACCACTAATGTCTAAAATACGAGTACGAGTATATTGTAAATCATGTGTAACGTTTGGAAGTACTCGAAATGTCAGACATTCGTTGAAAGAAATATTTAGAAAATGAAGTTGTGTCAATCCACGAAAAGTTCCAATTTCAATTCCATGAATATTGCAACTGGAGATATCTAAATATTTGATATTTGACATGTTTTGAAAGTAATCGAACCTCAATCTTCCTAAGTGACATACTCCGCTGTTCCCAGATAAATCAAGGGTCCTCAACTTAGTCATCTGCAAGAACCTTCCGTCAAATCCGGATAAATCCACTCCATCTAAAAGTAATGTCTCAAGCATATTCAGTTTTGTAATGCTTACTGGGAAATGTAAGTTTCTTGATACATAATGAATGTTATTCTGTTTTATGTTCAAGTATCTTAATTGAGTCAATCCCTCAAATATATTTTCGGGGTAAATTGCGTTAGTATATCGAAGCTTGTTACCACGTAAATCTAAATATTGTAATTGTCTCATATCCTTAAACGGAAAATCGTGAAAATTTTCCAACTGGTTTCCAGATAGGTCCAAATATGAAATAGTTTCCGGAATTCCTTCACTGGAAAAGTTTTGGAGATGATTTCCCTGAAGATATATTTCTGTAACGGTGGGCTTAAATTGGGGAATTGCATCGATATTCATGAAAGAGCAGTCTGCGACAAGAACGCCGACTTTAGGACTGTAACAGCGACAGATATTTCCGACTGTACAATTTTCCCTCAATGTGGTGTTTTCTGTTCCGATCAATTGAGTTGGGTTTGTTATTGCAGTAACATTCGTTCTGTTCGATTTATATCGATTGGGGAGCCAACTTTGTACTCTGTTCATCTTAAAACATCCAATAAAAAGGAGAATACCTGAAAAAATACGTGCATTAGATTTTACGATAAAAACAATATTTTAGAAACGAATTTGTTTACTGTGAGGTAGCTGTTTATTTATTAATGCACTTATATATCACAATTGATATATTTATGTGCTTCGGTAGTTATTCAACAACAATTTAATAAGTCGCAAAATATGAAGGACACTATTGAATGTCATATCGCAATTCTTATCAACCTTTTCCCCAGGAAAGATAAATGGTAATGCAGTTACATAGTCATGCAATCAGTGCTTGATTTCAAATGATAAATGATTACGAATGACGCCCTAAGAATATCGCTGTATGATGTTTTGGTTATGAATAGAAGTCGTTAACCCACCCAATGGTGTCCTTTTTCCCTCGATTACTTTTCATGAGGTATTTAAACTTCCTGTGTGCATGGGGCTTTAAGCACTACACGGTAAAGTAACAACGTTCTGACAAAACATATTGTATATTAATGACAAAGTAATTTCAACCTCAAGGATGTTACCTTACTTACCAAAGCATATCTTCAATAAATCCATATTGCTGTTAATGTTCAAACGTTTCTGTCGAAAGGCTACTCTGTTGATAATATGTATATCCTACTTGAATGATGTCAATACCTATATAAGTATAAAAGCAGTGTAACAAAGCAAATAATCATTCAGAAAGATAATAGTTCGCCCGCCAATCTGCGGCTGCCCTAGTTTAGGCTAAACATTCTTCAGCACGAAAAAAAAAAGTTTCATGACTGCCGTGTATTACCTGCAATAACACGCAACATTAATTTAGAACAAGAAGTGTAATGGAGATGTGGAATACAAGTCAGTTTTATTGTCCTTGGCGATTTTACACTTCCTCATTGTCGTCCTCTTTAGACGAATTACATGTGTTTACTTCATGTTTCCTGATAAAGTAGTAGATAAACAACATTCCTTCAAACACGATGTAATGTTATTAGAATATCCTTATTCATTGTACTGGTTTCTATATAGGATATGATTGCGAGTGTCTGGATGTAAAAATGATGTGATTGTGAGAGGTGTACGTGGCTATTAGATGGATGTAATTGTCAGAGGTGTGTGTAGCTGTGAGAAGGATGTGACTGTTAGAGATGTGTGTGTGTTGCTGTGAGAAGGATGTGTGATTGTGAGGTGTGTGGCTGTGAGAAGGATATGTGATTGTTAGGTATTTGTGTAGCTGTGAGACGGATGTGACTGTGAGAGATGTATGTACAACTGTGAGCAGGGTGTGTGATTGTGAGGTGTGTGTGACGGTGAGAAGGATGTGTGATTGTGAGGTGTGTGTAGCTGTGAAAAGGATGTGTGATTGTGAAATGTGTGACTATGTCGATATATTAAAGGATCGTAAATAAAACATTTCTCACTTCTCGTTCTAACCTTCAGGTTTCACACGATCAACGATAGGCGTTGACCTAAAAATTAACCTTGGCTATAAATAGATATTAACAAGGAAGAAGACACGTATTTGTAGAAAGGGGAACATAAATAGTAGGTATGTCAATACCTGGCAGTATGTATCCCAGAAAACAGAAATAAAATTAGTTGTCACCAACAATGTGATATGTTACTCTTACCATATAGTTCAGTAGTTGGAACTAGGGTTAGGTGAAGTCACTGGGTGTCGAGCTTGCACTCACGCTCACATGCTAGTCGAAACAGTCTGTGTCGGGACAGCAGTCCATGTGAATACTAGTTCGTTCGTTAGTTTTATTGTTAACTCAGGTAGAGTTTGCTGTTACACGCTATATGTATATATCGGCATTTGTTAGCTAGTATCTCTGCAAGGAATCAGAGACTTACCCACCGTGTGCAAAGTTAGGCTGCACGTTACATATATTCGATGGACATACAAATAAATTTCATGTTATCAAAAAACAACACATCAACAATATATTCAATATATAAGTGACATTGAAGGACTTCGAAAGGACTTCACGATCAAATTTGTTAAGCACCTTTATAAATTCAGTCTCGTGGAAAACAAAAACAACTTAGTCAAAAGAGGGACGACGTTTGTTCCTATTGGTATTTAAGTAGCCTGTTGGAAGATCTTACCACAAAAATCGATGAAGATATTGTTAAACATGAACTCAATCATCTTGATGATCTGCTCTTCCGTTTATGAGTTGGACATGTTTTTCATTAAAAAAGCCTACGTATAGGTCAAAACCATAGTAATGCTTCTTTGGAAAAGAAAAAGGGTCATCACAAGAGAACGAAGGCGTTCCTTCAGTTTGAGCATGGTAGTGTACGGAGTAGAAAAAAGTCAAATATTCTTATAAAAGAAATGTTCTGTTTAGATGAACGAACCCGGACTATTTAGTCTATTTAGTCACAGTTTCCAAGAACCACGGAATGACCTAAATGGATATGGTGTAGTATGTACTGATTGTAAAAGCGAAAATGATTGCTTGAAAGAAACCACCAAATGCCGGCTCAAAGCTCTAAATGCAACGTTCATGCAACAGAGTACGGGTTGCAAACAACACAATGTGGGTCGCAAACAACAAAGTACTTGTTTCAAAAGGAGATATCAAACAACCAAATCCATACTTCAAACAATATCATAAACAGTTGCATCAATGAAATACGGGTTATATTCAAATAAAATAAAATTAAAAGCAATAAAAAAATCGCCGTCGAACAATTGCTTCGCATAGATGTTGTCTTGAGCGGGAGATTAGCGTACCGTCACGATAAATATTTTCACACACACTGAACCCCAATTTTCTATTGCTCAATTGGAAAATTGATTGAGTATACTGTATCAATGTTAGAGTTCCTAAAAAACACTTTTATGATTTATTTATGATTTTATTTCTCAGAAAAACGGTTTCCTGGAACAATATATAAATAGACATTCTAAATTAAGAATTCTAAATATTTTCTCGAAATGTACCAACAACCTGCTGATGTATTATAACCTATAGGGGCATTTTCTGACAGGCTGTTAACACGTCTGTCATACCACATTTATGCTAAAAAATGCATTAGTATGTTTCCGGTAATACATACAATATGTGCATATTTTACTCGATTCTGATTTGCTATAATGGTCTTATTTCAAACGAAACTTCAACTTCAAAGCTCATTTGATTGGTGCAAATAACATTTATTTGCAACTCATGTTCAAATGCATATTGTGATCGTCTTAAATAACTTCTGTTCGTGATCATTCTGTTATGTTTAATAACCCGAATAAGAATAACTTTCTTCTGTTCGTTTCTTTGTATAGAGTTTTGTAGCTGAGAACATTGTATTCTTCTTACACGTGAGGATATTCCTTTACAATTGTCTTAGGTAGGACATAACATCTGCCTGTCACTGATGACAGTATCGTGGCTTGTACATTCACTACATTTTAGTTGGAGAAGGATCGCATTTAATACGAAATTCGGATTTACTACATGGCCTGCATGCGTATAAGCCTAGAAAGAAGCAATATGACGGACGCAAATACGAAAAGGCGACGAGGACCAAAAAGTGCCAGAAAGCGTAAGAGGAAGGAGTCAGACCACACAGGGCCCCACTAGTTCAGCGCCCGCTATTCACATAGATATTTCTCCCACAACAAAACG